TGAGCTTGTTACCGATTTACTTTCACTTCTTCAGGAAGCTGTTACCGCTCCTCGTCTTGATTTTTTGGTTCCTTCTTTAAACGATGAAGATTATTTAGCCTGGCCAGGTTGGACAAAAGAACAGTTTGATGATACGTATCACGTCATTTCATCTCATCTTCGTTCATCTAGTAATCATCATATTCGAAATACTCTTGCTATGTTTTGGATTAAACTGAAAACAAATTTATCGTTTCGGCAAATAGGTTCTATGTTTAATGTACCAGGAAATGGTGAAGATCGGCGTAAACGAGCTGCAGACGTATTCGATAATGTCCGTCAATGTTTAATCAAAAACTTTGTGCCTCGCCATTTAGGCGTTCAGCACTTAACAAGAGAAGATGCCAAGAAACAAAATACAAGCTTCTCTATTGAATTTTTTTGGAAATAATGTAACCATACTTTGGGATGGTGCTTATCTATTTATGGGTAAAAATAGTTCACACTTTATCAATCGAAAAACTTATTCAGGACAAAATTAAGCTTTTCTTATGCATCGATTTCAACATTACAAGTCTCTATTCTAGACGTCGTCATCTAATTAAGTTCATGTCTCTTATATTGCCAAATGGGTATATACTTGATACAATAAACCCATTTTTGGGTATAATGAATGATGCCTCTATAGAAAAAAAGTATCACAAATACATGTGATACTCTTATGAAATGGTGCGAGAAAGGTGATAAAATAATTGTCGATAGCGGATTTCACAACGTTATTGAAAGATTTATTGAAATTGGTTATGAACCAAAAATGCCTGAGTTTTTAATTAAAGAACAAAATCAGCATAGTATTGAACAAGCAAACAGATCCCGCTGAATTACAAAAGTTCGCTGGAGAATAGAGTCGTACCATGCCCGTATGAAAAAATGGACTTTATTAGGCGATCGAGGGTGTGGGGTGTGGGTGTGGAGTATGGGTGTCGCTGAAGAAAAGAGTTTCTCTATAGCTACACCCACACCATATTCTTTTGATACAGATTGATAGAGCTCTATATTTTTGAATCTTTCGACATGTGTTTTTCGCAGCTTAACTAATAAATACAGAACTCTCTAGTCTCAATCCTATTCATTCATTAAGAAACTTCGGAAGGATCTCTAAGAATCTTGAATATTAAGGACATTGTCAAATTATATTAAGGATCCTATTTTGAATCCTTATAATTCCTGTTTCCAGGATTTTTCCAGAATAACAAAGATCCTGTGAAGGATTGTCTTACGATTATGAGAGAAAATTCTGCCACAATTTTATCAGTTTCTCGTCAGGGTCCAGGTCAAATCATCGTTTCAATATCCTGTCAGGTGTGATAGCCATATCACACAAGGATGTTGACAGGAGAATAATAAGAACAATCGAAATACAAAACTGACTAATTCTGCAAAATTTTAATCAAGGTCTTGTTCACAACTTTTCGGGAATATACATTTTGAAACTTTGGAAACCAATCTCAATTCTAATTAAGATCTTAATAAGAAAATGTAAGGACTTAGCAAAGATGTTTACAGATTACAGGTTAGTCCACTCAGCCATGGTCATTCATTTGAACAGTCTTCCCAAGCAGACAAAAATTTTAAAAAACGCGTTTAAACGCACAATCGGGAACCGCGACTGTGATCCATTCACGCTCATTAAAAAAACGCAAGAAACGACGTTTTTTGTGCAAAATAGTAAATTTTCAAGTGTGAAAACGGCAAAAATATAAAAA